AGCCCTCATTGCTTGTGCTTTCCAGTCATGTCCTTGTTTTTCTGTCAGTTACCGTAAGAATGGCACGCTATCCTATAGCTCGTAGGCTATGCGTCCTCTGTTGACTGGCTCTACATTTGCAGAACCAGAATTCTGTAACACTACAAGAACAGTGGGTGGCTTTTATCTGTTTATGAAAGAGCATCCTCACACTTTTACTGCCTTCAGTGAATTGTATCAGGGTGATCCTTGGTGTGCATGTATATCAGTGGTTTGGATAAGACTTAAATATCTGATGCCAGTACCTGTGCTAACCATACATAATTTCAAAAGCCATCAACATTAGTTTTTTGCTTAAGGCATTTCTCCTTCAAAACTACTAAAATATGAAGTTCACTTTGTGAATATACTGCATGCTTCAAAAGGAAATATATTGGATACGGAGGGAAATGGGAAATGGGGGAAGTGTATCGTAAGTAAAAGTATACAAGGGGTATACATCAGGACTGGGGGAATGCCTGTTCACCAGAGTGCCCCATGGGATGACAAGGTCAAATGGTCACAAATTTCTCCAAGACAGTTTCAGGTTGGACATAAGGAAGAACTTCTTTATAGTTGGAGCCCCCAAGACCTGGAACAGACTGCCGCCAGAGGTGGTGCAAGCACCTACTCTAGATTCCTTTAGGAGTCAATTGGACGTTTATCTTGCTGGGATCCTGTGACCCCAGCTGACTTCCTGCCCCTGGGGCAGGGGGCTGGACTCGATGATCTTCCAAGGTCCCTTCTAGCCCTAATGTCTATGAAATCTATGAAACAGTAAAGTCTTGCCCAGTTAATTGTTGTTTCTGTGCTTCAATTATTTCTTTCTATAGGAACACTTCTAAAGTTTTGCTGTGTATTTACACAAGTTAACTTTTTTCTAGGTGGTCGTGGTTTTTCGAATACTATGTATACATTCTTAGGAGAAATATTTTCTCTGGATGCATCTATTGCAGTTACTTTGGCAGCTCATCAAGCTATCGGGCTTAAGGTAAGGTTATTTTATTACCTTACATATTGTATTTTGTTTGTAGAGGCCAGATGAGATGTATGTATTCAAAGGTCAGGTACTTGTGGATGAAACCTGAAATAGGCTAATAAAAACAAGGAAGCTTTATTTACCCATGCATGAGTAATAATGCATCTTAAATTTGTATTTGCTGTAGGCTCTTCAGGGGCTTTCCTACTTTTCTCCTGCCAGGAGCTCAGTGTAGGGTTCAAACTTTAGGATGAAGATCTAATGTGAAGCTTATAATGCAGGAAATAGTAAGAGATGGGTCTTTATTGAATTTTTCCCCTCTAAACTCAGTTTTGTGAATTTAGCAACTAATTCAAGAGATTTTTTTTTTTAAGTGAGACTATTGAATTTGTATGCATTACCTAAATGGGCAACTAAAATGAGGACATTTGATAGGAAGAAGGCAATGATGTATAGGTAGGTTGGCAGAGGCAGCAGACTGAGGAAGTTTAGAGGACTGGGAATTAGTATGCTGTATTGCAGAATAAAATTCTACTATGCTACAGTTACAGATTTCTAACTTTTTAGTGTCTTTTCCTATGAGATAAGTAGCAATATTCTGAAACCTGGAAATAGTGAATTCTTCTTGATGATAGGAGCTAATTTCTATAACTAAACATGTGGTGTGCTTTTTAAGTCTTTACTGTCTAACTTACAGTTTTGTTTCCTGTAAAATGGGAATAGTAATGCTAACCTCCTTTATTAAAACATTTTGCAGTAGACTGATGTCAAGCGTTGTCCAAAATATAGGTGTTGTTCTTTTGTTTTTGAGGGCATTCTTAGACTATTTGGGCTAAGAGCAAAAAAATTCGTTGAGACTCAGTGTTCTGGACTGGTACCAAAGGAAACTAGCTGTTTGTGTGCAAACTTACAGTTTGTGTTTTGTCTTGCTTTTTGATGAGAAGACCTGTCTATAAACTTATAAAGTGCTGTGCAACCAAGTAGGTAAAAATGAACTGAAATGTTATTGCATGCATTTATGTAAAATAGTTTGAGGTAGGTCATATACCTGTTCTTTGTTTGACTGTGAGCTTTGGAAATGGATGCCTTTTCATTTACAGTGCATGTGCAGTAATACCAGTAAATTTAATGCATGCTGTATTGGAGTGGTAAAGAGGCTAATTCAGTCCCCATGCTTGTGCAGATGGTAGGGGAGTTTCTTCCTGAAGAAACTAGACTCTTCTGACAATTTTTTATAAAACACCATATTTAATACTATGGATACCATTAAATATCATACATACCATTACTGTACACCAGCCTTCTCTATGAGAACAGAGAACAAGCCATAAGGAATGTCTTTCACAATGATATTTTACTTCTGTTTGCTTGGAAAATGACTACCATCTCAAGTTAGCCTCGGATGAGCCTCAGTCCCTCCACTATCTGTCTCACATGCCTGGCTGTCCCCCATTTCACTCCTCTGACTCTGAGTTGCGGGCCCCTGGCTCTGTCTGTGCCTTAGAGCACAAGCCGCCTTGGGGCAATAATCATGGCCTCTGTCTTCCCCTGTAGCCATACCTAAGATTCAGGTGTTACTCTTGATCCGTGCACAAGCTTGCATAGGCTTCAGTCCTCTTAGCTTTGGCCCACTGGTTGCTCTAGCTGTGCACTTCTAAGTCTAGGTCAACTTGCACTGGCCTGGTTTCTCAGTCCCAGCCTCCCTCCAGACCACCCCTACAGCCACAATCTGGTTCTCTGCTATCAAGCTTAACTGTAAGACAAACGTAAGCACCCACTTCCAAACTAAGTCTCCCTTGCTCTGGGTCAGTGTCACCCTGCAAGCCCTACTTTCCTTCAAGATCTTACCTCCCAGTACTCATGAGTGGCTTGGGTGCCTGCCAGGATGTTTCCTGCTAGCCCCCTCTCACAAGAGATCTTCTCCTTGCAGCATCTGCAGGGCGAGACTGTCTGTCTTGCTTTAGACGCTGGGCTTAAGCCCTGAAGCTCTGTTGCTTCTGGTCAGGTGACTCCTTAGTCATATGCAGGGGTTTCCCCATTTTCCTAATGGCCAACTTGCCCTTCCCTGCTGTGTCTTAATCCAGCTGCTTACAACCTTTACTCTCAGGCTGCCTGGAAATCTGCCCCACACTGCAAGTTTATTGCAGTGCAGCTAGCTTTAGCTCAGCTGCCTGTCTACACAACAAGATTAGCCTGCTGCACTTTCCTGTTAAAGTAACAGGAGCCTCAGACTCCCAGTTAGTCATCTAGTCCAGTCCCCTATTTAAGGCAAGATCATCCCTAACTAAACCATCCCAGCCAAGTGTCTTTAACCTCTTCTTGAAAATTTCCAGGGATGTGGATTTTGCAGCTTTTCTAGATAACTAATCCAATATTTGACCTTCCTCAGAATCAGAAAGTTCTCTCCAGAATCCAGCCTAAATTTCTTCTGCAGTTTGAGCCATTGCACTGCCCTGTAGCCAGACAAAAGTCTGTCTCCATCCTTTCTGTAATCATCCATCAGGTATTTGAAAATTGTTATGAAATTCCCTCTCGCACTATTCTTCTCCAGACTAAATAACTCTAGTTCTTTCAGCCTGTCCTTATGCATCATGCTTCCCAGACATCTAATTTTTTGTGGCTCTCTGTTGGACTCTTTCCAAACTGTCCACTTGAAGTGTGGGGCCTAAGTCTGGACACAGTACCCAAGGTGAGGTGTCACCAGTACTGAATAGTAGAGATGTACCAGTATGTCGGTCCATATCATATTGGCACCGATAAAAGGAAAATTGAAATTATTGGCAATTGGCCTTTTTTGGTGTATGTAGCTGATATCACTGATAAATGTTGCATGCATGCACATAGCTGCAGCGTGCACGCAGCCAAGAACGCAGCCCAGCAGCTTGGAAAGCAGCGTCTGGCTGATAAGTCTGTTGTGGAGGAAGGGGGCTCAGATCTAGGCCCCCGCAGTGAGGGAAGTAATGGGGCTGGGGCAGGGCACAGGACAGAGCTGCGGCTCGTCTGAGGGGCGGAGGGGGAGCATGGGAGTCATGGGGAACATTTGCCCTCTGGATGTGTGTGGGCAGGTGGTGGTGGTGCTGAGGGGGGGCTACAGGGTGGGCTACAGCCTCCCCAAAATTCATTGTAGCCCCCCTCCAAGCATTGCCTCTGCCTACCCAGCCCAAGCGCAGCCACCAGGAAGAGGCTGGAGCAGCCCTGGCCTCACCCCCTGCAGCAGCCCGCCCTTGTCCCATGCAAAGATCCAGGGGGGCACATGCCCCCCATGCCTCCCCTGGGGGTGCACACAGCGGTGGGAGCTGCCCCCCCTCCACAGGCAAACGGTGGCTCTGTCCCACTCCCCACCCTGCCTCAGCTGGGCAGTGCCTGCCCCTGCCCCAGCCCCACTCCCTTCCTCACCATAGGGGCATTGAACCGCTTCCCTCATGCCATTTCCTGCCCCCACACTCCTCCCAACTGACTTACCAGCTGGGCTGCATATCAGCAATTGGATCGGTATCACCCTGTAAAGCTAGTCAAAAATCGGCCATTGGTATCGGCCCGAAAAATCTATGCAGCAGGGAATTGTTCCCAAGGTGTTTAATATGTAGAAGACATGGCACTGCATCATATTTTTAAGAAGACATAAACTATGAGACAGACAAAAACGCAATGAAAACAACAAGAAATGTATTTAAAAAAACAAAACAACGCCTCTCCCACCCCCTCCAGGTATAAACAACATGAGTTTTTGGGAAGAACTCCACATCTGATTTCCCACCCCACTCCCCCCCTCAAAACTGGCACATAGGGCATTTATACACACATATTTTTGTCCTGCGACACGCTGGAGATCCACCACTTCAGAGTAGACTCAGTTAATCAGTATGAGCTGATGCGCACTACACTGTGCTGCATGCAGTGATATAAGCGTCAATATGTACATCAGCATGCAGAAAATGGCAGCGGTACGCTTTTGAACTAAAGCATCTTCTATGTGTGTTAGTTCAAAAGTGCGCCACTGCCATTTTCTCAGCGTTGACATGCATTTTGCTGCTTATACAACTGCAAGCGATGCAGTGCTGTTCAAAGCACTTGGCGCTATGGTGCTTTCATGTGTAAAAATGCCCATAGGTACTGGCTTTAAAAATAAGATTTGTTCATAGCTGTCTTGTATCTGTTTTGCATATAATAGTAGATGAACACAATATACGCAAGAATGACCAGAGACTTTTTTTTTAATTATGTGGACTTTCTCCATAAATGTAATGTCTCCTTGGGCCCTAAGGTGCCACCTTGTCCTACCTTCTGCTGTACACAGCTAACCACCTCTGTCCATGTTTGTTATCATTGAGCAGTTTGAGACTAACAGGTAGAAAAAATTTCACTCACGAAATAGGAAGTTTAAATAACAAATCAAGGCATGCAAGCAGTTGATGAGTCTTGGTTAATCAGTCCAGAACAAGCTTAATGTGTATTAAAATATAACGATAATGTATTTGTAATGTATTAATTAAGTCTCTTTATACTGTGAGCTAAACTGTGTGTGCTAAGTGGTACTGCTCGCATATCAGGATGTTAAGTCTTTTATTAATTTATTTGTTTAGGGAATTCTGATTGCTGGCACTGGTGAACAGAAAGCAAAGTACCTGCCTAAATTGGCATCTGGGGAGCATATTGCAGCTTTTTGCCTTACAGAAACTGGAAGGTACTATTTTTATTTACTTTGAAAGGTTTAAATAGGAAAATATTTTGTTTTCTTGCTGACAAACACCAATTAGCTTGTTTGTTACAATGGCTATTCACTTATTTAGAATTGCATCTATTGTGTGTGACTATAATATACAGTCAATGTTTTTAACATGATATTTCAGACTACATAATCCATCTCCTCCCATGAAGCTGCACATTATAGTTTCCATTAAATTACTAAGCATTATTTGATTTAAGTTGCATTAATTCTTCCAGCTCTTCCTAGGCCAGAGACACCCATTCATTCAATGTGTTGACAGAAATAAATAGCAAATGAAGGGTTAGTTGCTGTGGTAGAAACTTTCTGAAACTCGGACAATTTAAATAGCTTCATAGAAACTCAAAAAACTATTTAATTACAATTATAAGTAGAGGGAGGTAGTTAGCTGTGTTGGACTGAAGTCAGGCAGGAGGCAGGACACAGTGGCACTTTAAACACTAACTTGTTTTTTAGATGGCAAAAACCAGGTAGTTCGCTTTACCTTGTCTATTTACCTACTTAGAATCACATCTATGGTGTGTGACTACAGTATAAAATTGGTGTGTCTAACTAATGATATTTTAAACTACATAATCCACTTTCTTCCGTGGAGAAGTAGGTCAAAGGGATTGTTTTTAATTCTTCTAGCAAGTGACGCACAGAGGAATATAGGCACCTCTAACCAAATTTTAAAATTCTTATGATATATTTGCTTAGCTTAATTTTATTTCCAGAAGTGGTTGCCTTAGAAACTTTTAAGTTAATTTTGAAATTGAGGCAAATTTAGCCCATATGAACAAGTTAAGGCAGGAGAAGGTACATTTATTTAGGATGTTATTTAGTGCTGTATCAGTAACGTCAGAATGTTTCATGTTCTAACGAACACAGAAAGGGTATACTTTAAATACAACATTTATTACAGATGGTTTCCCAGTTTTCATTTTAAAAGGATTGAGGGGCAATAAGCCTCATAACTGTCAGCTGCAGCTTCAAATTTTTACAGTTTATAAGTTTTAAAGTTTTCAAATTTGCCCTGAAGTCACTGAGACACAGTATATTGTAACCTACAGTGCATTTTATTAGAGTCCTTTTTAACAGTTGAATGCCTTTAAAATATCGAGGGGAAACTGGTTTTGTAAAAACTTTTCACCTTTTTTCAGTCCATGCAACAAACAACAACAACAACATTATGGCTCAACCTCAAGTGACATTTTTCAAATTTGAATTTTGGGAGTCAATTTACCTAAAAAAAAAAAAAAAAAAAAAGGGGGG